CGCCCCGCGCCGCCCCCTCCCAGCGGCCACGCCCAGAACACCCTCATCGCCACTCTTGGTCCCACTAGGGGCGGCAGGAGAAAGCCTCGTGCCACGACGAGCACCTAAAGCGCGCTACTGCGGTTCGACCGGTGGAGGGGGCGTGTCTCGGCAGTCCCAGAAGGAGGAGCGTAAGGCAAGGGGCGGTCCTGCCCCGAGCACTGAAGCGCTGATTGGCCATGTGCTGCGGAGGCGGTGTAGGGGGCGTGTCCCCGCGGGAGTTTTAGAGGCGCGAAGGGCAAGGGGCGGGCCTTCCCGCGAGGCTCTGGAGCACTGATTGGCTGAACGCCCGGAGGCGTGAGAAGGGGGTGTGTCTGCACGTGAGTGCTGGGGGCAGGGTGGGCAAGGGCTTGCAATAAAAGGAGAGGACGCGTGGGCAGTCCTGGCCACCTTCTCCTCTTGGGGGCAAAGGGCAGGCAGTTCAGTCCAGGCGCCCAGGCTTACAGAATCCAGGCATGGCTGGACCTGAGTGGGAGTCGCTGGAGAAGTGCTTGGAGGCTAACCTGTCCCCTGCAGACTTGCGGGAGGTGAAACGCATTCTCTACGGCAAGGAGACCAGGTATGGGCCCCAGAGGTTGAGTTGAGGGAGTCTTGGGCCCCTGAGTATGGGTCGGAAGGAGCAAGGAAAAGGATTCAGTGTCTGATGGGCCAGTCCTGAATAGGTCAGCAAAGATCCCCCCAACAGGAGGTCCAGAAGTGATGGCCCCGCGGCCCTGAGCGGGGAGGGGGTGTTGCATGATCTCAGAATGGCCTTTACAAGCCTCTTCTTCCCTTAATTGCCCAGGACAAGAACTAGAAGGGAAGGGGCAGGTTTTTCACTGTCCAGAGCTTTCTCTACACTCCTGCCCCCTTTCAGTGACCACCTTATTCTCCAGAGCCAGGCTTATTGTCCAGGGTGTCTGGCCGGATCAGTGTTTCCCACCAAAGCCCCCCCAGCTGGTATACTGGTTGTCCAGCTTCAGCCCCCACTTCCTGCCGTGACTGGGCTAGGACCCTTGCAAGTAGAAGCTGGCTGAATCTAGCAAGCACCGGCTTTTTTCCAGCTAGCAAATCCCAGGAGTGAGTTGCTAGGCTGAGTGCAACTGTTTTTCCACTCCCAGCAAGCCGTGTGCATTACTAGGGCTTCCTGAGGGCAGAAACGGAAAGACACTCAGCTTCCACTGTTTCTCTTCAGTCCATTCTCTGCTGCAGCCAGAAGTACCCTTTTAAATGGTCAATTTTATTCTATTGCTCCTTTTCTTAAATCTAGAAGGGTCCTGGTCCTGGGCTCTCAGAATGAAATTCAAACTGGGACCTGTGGGTGGCGTGGTGGTTAAGGTGCTGGACTTCCACGTGGTCGACCACAGTTCAAGTCCCAGACCCGGTGGCTTGAAACTCATGCCAGGCACGTGTGTGCGTGCTCAGGATCCCCAGAGGAGAATGGGGGAGACGGGATCGTGGCATGGCCATCCCCTCTGGGGGGATTGATTTCTTATTTTCCGTTTCTTTGTCTCTCTAGCAAGCACATGCACCTTAAAGCAAACATTTTTCTTAAAATGAGAGAAAAAAAAAAAAAAAGAATGAAATCCAAAGTGACCCCGTGCACCACCTGACTCAATTTCCTTCCAGGTCTTTGCTCACTTGTGGGTTCCCTGCCTCCCCTGACCCGGCCAGACCACATGCTCCGTGACTTTACAGCAGAAACCTTCCAACTCACCTCTACCTGGGAGTCCACCGCTCCTCCTCTGGGTCCTCACTGGGCTCCACAGAAGCCCACCATCCGTCCCTGTGCTTTGCCGTACCCAGTACAGGGATGACACTTAGAAGCCTTTGCTAAGTGAATGAGCCACATGGGCCTTGATCTGTCCCAGACACTAAAATCCTGAGAGACTCCCAGTTTTACAACAGTCAATGCCAAGAAGCATTCATCCATTCGACAAGCGTTTGTCGAGCACTCATTTTTCTCTGGGGCATTAGAGATACGGGGATGAGTAAGCCAAGTAAGCCGAGTTTCCTGCCCTTGGAAGCCTTCCCTTTTTTTTTTTTTTTTGTGGTTATCTTTTGTGATGAGAAAAAGAGGTAGAGGAGCTCAAGAGAGTTTACATGTTTGGAGTTGGGGAAGGTCAGGAAGTTTCCCAGAGGTGCTGTGTTTGAGCTGCCTCCTAAGGAGAAAGAGAGTGTGTGTCCCCAGAGACCAGGGGACTTGCCCAGGCATTGTGTAAAGTCTTTGGCTTTAGGTCCAGATCTCTGAGGTTAAAGACTCACCCTGAAATGTAAAATGAAAAAATCACAAAAGTAGGAAAAAGGAAGTTTCAATAAGAAAGTGAGGATTAGAACCAGCAGTCGGTGCAATGGCTATGTTGCTGGACTCCCATGTAGTCGACTGTGATTCAAGTCCCGGACCCAGTGACTTAAACTCACGCCAGGCATATGTGTATGCATACCCAAGATCCCGAGAGGAGAATGGAGGAGAAGGGATTGCGGCGTGGCCATCCCCCCCTGGGAGGTGTTTCTTGCTTTCTGTCTCTCTGTCTCTGTCTTTCTGGCAAGTGCACGCGTCCTGTAGCAAAAACCTCTCCCCCTCAAAAAATAAAAATAAAAATAAAAATAAAAGTGAGGATTCTTCATAGAAAAGAAATATGGGGGCCAGCAGATGGCACCATGGTTACGTTGTGGACTCCCACATGGCCAACCACAGTTTGAGTCCTGGACCCGGTGGCTTAAAGATCACTATGGGTGTGTGTGTGCGTGCATGTGTGCACGTGTGTGGGCCCAAGATCCTGGAGAAGAATGGAGGAGGAGGATTGCAGCGCAGGCATCCCACCCCCACCCACCTCACAGGGGTGATTTCTTGCTTTCTGTCTCTCTGGTGAATGCATGCGCCCTATAGCAAAAAAAAAAAAAAAATCTCTCTTAAAAAAAAATAGGAAATCAATTACACCTCCTTGCCTGAGAGGCCTGCAGGTGGGCGCTGCCAGAGGCCGTTGCACCGGGCCTAGGGCTAGCTGTAACATTTATTCCAAGAGTTGATAATGAATATTCAGCAGGGGAAGGTCTGTCACCACATCTGGCTTCTTTGAAGTCCCGGGCTTTGTCCTGCTCTGTCTTTCTGACAGGTGAGGAATTCAGTGGCCTAATCCCATGTGCTCAGTATGGACTGAGAAGGTATGAGCATCCTTATTTGGGTGACCTGCCCCATCAGTTTCTTGCCCCTGTGGAAATCAGGGTGTTGACCCCCAAATTTCTTGTTGGGTCCTTTTGTATTTATGAGAAATGATTAGAGGGACTTGAACAACCCTCCCTGTGTGCTTTTCTCAGATACGAAAGAAGGAAAATGAGATCCACTTCGCCTTCCCAGCGCCAGGAGCTGGGTGGGAAGAAGGTGCTCGCGGAGGGCCTGGTTCTAACTCCTGATAACCTGTGATCGATGTGGCTGCTGTCTTTCTGGTATTTTCTTAGGGCTGCCCACTCCTTTCTAGCTAACTGCCTGTCACCTCGGGGACCTCTGAAGAATTTTTTTCAGCTGGCCATGTCAAAAGTGGCCTGGAGGCTCAGCCTTGGTGGACGGTGGTAGTTCATTGCTCTGCAATGCTAAGAACCAAGTGGAAGATTGGGGTTTGGATCCCAGGTCAACTTGACCACACTGGGCACGCTCACACATGCCTGGAATCTTGGCTGACTGGCAAGTCTAGGGAGAGGATCAGAGTGAGAGACCCTATGGTGAAGGGTACTTGTCTTTCTCTCAAGAAATAAACCACAGGGACCAGCAGATGGAGTAATGGTTACGTCATTGGACTCCCACGTAGTCGATGGCAGTTCAAGTCCTGGCCCCAGTGGCTTAAAACTCATGTCAGGTTTGTGCATGTGCTTGCACGAGATCCAGAGAGGAGAATGGAGGAGAAGGGATTGTGGCATGGCCTTCCCCTCGGCGGGGGGGTTTTTCGCTTTCTGTCGTTCTGGTGAACTCATGTACCCTATAGCAAAAATCTCTCTCTAAAAATAAATTAATTAATTAATAATAAGCTACAAAAAAAAAAACAAAAACAAAACAAAACAAAACAAAAACCTGGAAAAGGGCAGGTAGAAGGTAAGAGGCCTAAGCAAACAGAGTCCCTGGGACTGGTAAGGAGGAATGGTCCAGAGATCTCCAGGTAGACAACAGATAATTTGGGTGACGGGCCGGGCTGGACGGAGGAGGTGAAGGCTTTTGGCTTGGCCCTTCAGGTGACTGGTGAACTACCTTGTGAAGAACGGCTTTGGAGAGGGATGACGAGTTCAGCCCTGCACGAGTTGAATCTGGGTTGCCACGTCATTCCTAGAGCTGCCATAGCAAAGTGCCACAAACCGGGTGACTTAAAAGGACAGAAATTTGGGCCAGCAGACGGTGTGGTGGTTAAGGTAGGTAGCTGGATCCCTTATGGTCAACTGCACGGTTCAAACCCTGGACCCGGTAGCTTGAAAAGCACACCGTGCGCATGTGCATGCATGCCCAAAAATCCCAAGAGGAGAATGGAGAAGGGATTGCAGCATGGCCTTCCCACCTGGGGGATGCTATCTCACTTTCTCTCTCTCTCTGTGTCTCTTTCTCTCTTCAGTGAGCACCTGGGCCCTATAACAATTTTTAAAAACAGAACAAATTTATTCTCACAGTTCTAAAGACAAGAAGTATAGCCGGGCCATGATCCCTCTAAAGGCACTGGGGGGGACTCCTTCCTTGCCTTTTCTAGCTCCTAGTGACTTCTGGTGACGTCTTGTGATCCTTAGCTTGTGGCAGCGCATCTGTGCCTCCATCGTGACATGGCCTTCTATTGTCCCCCTGGACTTTTTTTTATAAGAACACTGGTCATTAGATTTAAGGCTTACCCAGATAATCCAGGGTGATTTTTGTCTTGGAAGCCTTACCTTAATTATATCTGCCAAGATTCCTTTTCCAACTAAGGTCACCCTCACCGGTTCCAGATTTGGGACACAGATACATTTCATCCCACTCCAGGTGCCTTCGGGGTCGCCCCCTGGAGGTGTCCAGCCATTTGCTGTGTGACAACGACCTCTTGGGGAGAGGCTGGAGTTGGGACCTATGCTGGAGGTGGTCTCCCAGCCACTGGTACAGAGTGAGAGAGCCCCAAGGAAATGCTGGAGAACCCGGATATTCAGGGGTCAGAGGAAGCAGACTTTGTAGGAGATTCTAGAGGTGAGGGTGCAGGAGTTGGCAGAGTCCAGGCCAGATAGGGAAGGAAGCTTCAGACGGTGCAGAGAGGTCTACCCGGTGAGGCCAGCAGGGCGTCTGGCTGTAGCAGTCATTCCCAAGGTGGGGAGTGAGAGCCAGAGAGCAAGGGGCCGAGGAGAGTCGTGCTAAGCGGAGTGTGTGCGTGTGCGTGTGCGTGTGTGCGTGTGCGTGTGCGTGTGTGCGTGTGCAAGCTCCCTAACAGGGAGAAAGAGGGCAAGTGAGGTAAAGAGATGAAAGTGTGGGGTGCTATTTTTTTTAAAGAATTATTTATCTATGTAATTCCATTTGTTGTTATTAATTTTTTATTTAATTCGACCAGAGAGAGAAAGGGAAAGTGAGAAAGCAAGCTGCCAGGTCCAGGACTGAGCGACAGTGGGCCACGTGGGACCCCAGCGCCCTTAACCACCACGTCACCCGCCAGCCCCTGGAATGCTGGGTTTTGTTTAGGGAGTATTTAGATTTCTTTTTATTTATTTATTTATTTATTTATTTATTTATTTATTGGAGAGATTTTCACTGTAGGGCGCGTGCGCTCGCCAGACAGACAGAGAGAGACATAGTTTTTTTAGAGACATAGAGACAGAAAGCGAGAAATCACCCCCCAGGGGGGATGGTCACGCCGCAATCCCTTCTCCTCCATTCTCCTCTCGGGATCTTGGGCAAGCACGCACACGCGCCCGGCGTGAGTTTTAAGCCACCGGGTCCGGGACACGAACCGCGGTCGACTACATGAGAGTCCAGTGACATAGCCATTATGCTAACTGCTGGTTCTCTCTTTTTATTTATTTATGATAGAGCACTTGGGTGTTCTGAGAGAGAGAGAGTATGGCACCGTCTACAGGGTCTGGTCACACTGCGATCCCCTTTCTACAGTCTTCAGATCTTGGGCACTTGTGAGTGTGTGTGTGTGTGTGTGTGTGTGTGTGTGTCCAAGAACATTTCAGGGTATCCAGGAGGAGCATTCAAACCCCTGTTGCTATGTGGGATCTGGCCTCCTATTTTTTTTTCTTTTAAGAATTATTTCATCTTATTTATTTTTCATCATCATTATGATTACTCTTATTAGTTTTGATCAGAAAGACAGAGAAAGTAAGAAAGGAAGCCGCTGGGTCGAGGACTCAAACCACAGTTGACCATGTGGGAATCCAGTGCCTTAACCACCACGCCACCTGCTGGCCCCATGGATCTGGCCTCTTTTGAGCAGTATGTTACTGATGTGCCACAGAGCCAAACTCCCTTTTCTGTTTTTTAGTGGGAGAGACTAATAGCTTTAGTGGTGGATGTGGTAGATACTAAGAGATGTCTACACGCTACAGCGGGTAAGAGGGGGCTTCAAAATTTGCATGGAAAACGGAATTAAAATATGAATTTATTTTGGTGTAAGAAAAATCAAATTCCATGCAGCTTTTTCATAATATATATTTTGTGTTTTCTTTTCAAAGACCCCTTGTATATGTTTCATGAAAAAGGCAAGTTGAGGGACCAGCAGTTACCATAATGGCTATGTCACTGAACTCCCATGTAGTCGACTGCGGTTCAAGTCCCGGACCCAATGGCTTAAACTCACACTGGGCACATGTGTGTGTGTGTGCCAGGATCCTGAGAGGAGAATGGAGGAGAAGGGATTGTGGCATGGCCATCCCCCCTGGGGGGTGATTTCTCGCTTTCTGTCTCTCTGTCTCTCTCTTTCTGGCAAGCGCACGTGCCCTATAGGAAAAAACCTCTCAAAAAAAAAAAATAAATAAAAAGGCAAGTTGAGCAAAACGTATAGAACAGTGCCTTTGTATTTTTAATACACCTGTGCAAAGAAATCTTAGAAACAAAATGTTCTTAAGAGGATTGAAACTTCAAGGTGGGAATGAGAGGAAAGCTTCTTTTTCATTTAATTCCCTGTTATACTGTTTGATTTGTTTTTTTCTCCCTTTGAGCATGCTGCTTTTATGACAAAATTCTGGTTTAATTATTTAAAACGATGGTGGTAAGGAGTCATTAGAAGAGATAAGATAAAGCTCGGGAAGAGGTGGCTGAGGAGGCGGGAGGGTGGCGTCCTCAGGCAAGGTCTGCCTTGATCCTGGATGGGACAGGTGGGGGGCCCTGGAGGGTGTGTTGGGTCCAAGACAGGAGTGTTGGGATTTCCTCCTTGAAGTTGGAGGTGAGACCGGCAGAAGTCTTAGCAGCAGGCTGAGGGGTGGACGTTGAGGCTTAGGATTTTAACTATTCATTTGCGCAGGGAGGTATTAATATTCACTCTGCTCCAGTGTGCACTGCTTGCCCCATGCCCAGCCTGCGGTGGGCACCACACCCGTTCACTCTGTGCCTACACAGGGTGCAGCTTGAGCCTAGTTGAATTCTCTCAGGCACAGCAAGGCAGGATGTGGCGCTGCACCTCCTTGGGTCACGGGCGGGTAGTGCGTCCTTGTACCGGTCACCGGACAGTATATGGGAGTGCTAAGGAAAGGCAGGGTCGCAACGGTGTCCATCCTGGGGAGCAGAGTGGCACTGGACACCCTCTTGCCAGGACTTCCCCACCCCTCTGTATCTGCTCAGTCACTACAGAGAGTGGCGTGGCGACAGTCGGAGGAGAATGGGTGTCCGTAGGGAGCAGTAAAGGGAGCTGCTTGAAGGCCAGCGGGTGGAGCCAGCAGTCTGCACAGCCAGAGGGTGGAGGTCGGGGAGCTGTCGTTGCAGAAAAATGAGCTGATGGTGGTGCAAAGATGGGGACAGAGGCCGGCCCTGGGCAGCGGATGGAGAGGGACACCAGCCCAGTATTGGCTACAGCTGGGCTGGGCCCCCCGAGACCACG